AGGCCGGGTGTGTTCTCTCTGCTGGGCGGCTGTTCTGGCTGCCTGTGCTTCCCCCACTGAGACAGGCACTGCTGCCTTAATTCCCTTCCCTTTTAGGTTGGGGTGGTTGGAAATGGATTCTGCTCCAAGCTGTCACCACAGAGGCTGGCATAGCCCCTGGCAGACATTGAGGCAGATGCCTAGATACATAGCATCCATGTCTAGATGTGAATAAGGAGCCCTGGTGGCATAGTGTGAGTGGAAAGGTCACTGGTTTGAATCCACCAGCTGCTCTGGGAGAGAAGACAAGCAGGCTCTGAAAGCCCACGGAGGGTTTGCTGAGTCAGAATTGACTCGGTGTCAGTGGGCTTGGGGTTTTGGTTTAGATGCTCACTGGACATTTGCTGGATGGTCAAGTGAATGGGCTGTGCTGGGGGAGTTGTCGGGGGTCACTCTGGTCGAGTGGCTGGGAGGGCTTCCCCCTCGGCCGCCTGCCTACTTGAGCTCCTTGTAAGATGTGCTGTTGGAATGCCTTGGGCCGTCGTTCTCTGGATGTCCTTCCCAGGACCAGGCTGGAGCCTCAAGCACACGTGTTTCTTGCAGGGATCTCCTGGAAGGACAAGGTTGCAGAACTCCGGTTGAAAATGTCCGAGAGGAACGTGGTGTGGTTTGTGGTCACGGCCCTGGACGAGATCGCATGTGAGTGCACTGGCTCCTGTGTGGGACGTGTCAGCCCTTCACGCCTTTGACCCTCAGGGCATCTGTGTATTCAAGCCATTCGTCTTTCTGAGTGGCCAGGAATAAGCAAAAAACCGAGTCAACCGGCTACTAGGGGCGTCGGGCTTGGGGTCCTGGAACCATGGCCCAGTTTGTCCATCACCTGGCGGAGAAGGCTCTCGGGATGGTAAACGCTGCTGTGACTTATCCGAAGCCTCAATTGGCCACACTTTGGCACTATGCCAAGGTGGAGCTGGTTCCTCCAACCCCTGCTGAGATGCCTACAGCTATTCAGAGCCTGAAAAAAAGAGGCAATAGTGCTCAAACTGGTCGCTTCAAACAGCTCACAGTTAAGGAAGCTCTGCTGAATACTTTGGTGGTCACTGAGTTGTGGATGTGGTTTTATATTGACAAGATCATAGGCAAGTGTGGGATGCATCCGATTATACTTCATTTACTATTTGTATTTGTGTATTCTTGGGCCATGGATATAAGATTAATATCTCAATATAATAGATAATATGAAAAAAAAGCCCCCCCAAAACCATGTCATCAAATGGGTACAAAAGTCGTCATTTAGGACGAAGGAGAAGGAATTCAGAGTGCAGAGGAGGGAATGCAGCCTTGCCCAGGAGCCAGAGAGGTGCTGTGAGCTCCACAGGCCACGTCCACCTCCAACCTGACCCCTCGCGGCTGTGGCGCCTCTGAGAGGCATCCTCTCTGTGTTTCACGGGTATTGGTGAGAAGTTGAATGTTGAAAGGTTTTTTCCCCCCTCCTTTGTACTTTTCCTGTTGTTTCCCAAGGCCTTCACAATGGGAATGTTCTAGAAGCACCTCTGTTTTGGAAAACCGAAAGTTCCTGACCGAGCCCTCTGACATGTTGGCAGTTTTTCAATCTTCAGACGTTAGATAGCTCTCAAGCAGTTGTTTAGTACTTTTTGTCATCTTTTCAGACTTGACAATTGCTTTTTTGTGATTACTAGATAGAGGATATATGTGTGATAAGAATTTTGACCCATCTTGACATTTATGTCCCAGTAACGTTGTAGAGTGCTGTCTGAGAATGGCCATCTCGTCACGCCCCTGCTCCCCCCACACGCTGTTGTCTTTAAAACAGTGCAGAGAAGCTGTTGTTTTAGAACCGTGGCAGTTCGGTGAATGCCAGGGTTGTGTTTGGACCAGGGTTGTGCTCTGCTGGTCGCCCTAGTTTCTCAAATGTGCAGTGACCTCCCCAGCCCCCTGACCCTGGCTGCAGATGCGTCCCTGGGCTCTGGTTTCACTCAGGGGTGGCAGCCCTGCTGACTCACTGCTTTTCTTTCTGCCTCTGACAGGAAGATCTGCCGCCTTTGGGCTAACTGACTCTTAATAAGAGGGCCTCCTTTGGCCTCCCTGGTGGGTGGGTCTCAGTTTTTCTACCCTAGGTCATTTACCTCAGAAGGGAGAGAAAATGATCGCCTTCCTTTTCTTTGGGAGCCCTAGAGGTTTTTCTGTTGCAGAGCCAACCCTGGCCGGCCAGCAGCAGGCGGGCCATTTCACTCTTTGTTTGGAGGGCATTTCTTGTGTTTTCTTCTGGTTCTGTAACTCTTCCATCCCCTTCTCCCTGTGGCTCTTATGCTGGGGCCTAAGAAGCAGCTTTGCCGCCACCGTGTGGCAGAGGTGGCCAATTGCAGCTTGGAGGTGGCCCCTGCAGGAAGGTTCCTGCCTGTCAGAAAGGGAGGCCCTTGGTCTCAGCCGATGCCCTTCTCTTCCCCTGCAGACTGACAGCTCCTTGGAGTCCCGAGTCGGGCAGGTGACAGATATTCTGATTTACCTTTTCAGGGCTATTCAACCTCCGAGGATCTGATGTGGAACATAATCCGGTGTTTTTCTCCTATGCAATCATAGGACTGGAGACCATCATGTGAGTGTCTGCCCGCACCGGGCCGTCTTTCCTGCGGCTCCGTGGAGCCCCAGATCCTTCCTGGTCCACCTGTTACCTGGAAATACTCTTTTGTTGCTTTTCTCTCCCTTTTCCTTTTTATCTTCCTTTAATAGTAGCTATTTATCTATTTCCTTCCTCTTTTAACCCCAGAGAGGCTTTGGAATCTCCTGTGAAGTGTCTATTTTACTCAGTAGGGAAGACGTCAGGATGCACCTGCCTGAGGCTAGTTGACAGGATTCCTGCTTCAGGGGACTGTTCAGGCCACGTGTATGAGTCCAGGTGGTTCCGGCAGCTGAGGCCGGTGCTGTGCAGGCTCAGGTCTGCAGTTCTGGGTTCACGGTACAGCCCAGCCCAGCTCTTTAGAAATGCTCCAGAAAACTCCCCTGGCTGGTGCCTGGATGAATCGGCAGTGATCTTTCTAGAACCCGCCTGGACTTTGCCATTGTTGCCCTTCTGTTTGGATGGCTTTCATGCACTGCATTGACCGAGTGCCTGCCAGTCGGTGCTGGAGACTCAGTGATGAGTCTGGCTAGCATTTGGGATTTGGGCCCATAAGTGGCACTGATTCATCAGTAGGGTGGTTCTGGGGACCTAGACTTGAGGGGGGACAAGGGCGATTGAGGCAGAGACTGAGGGTAAATGTGAGTGAGTCAGGTGAGGAACAGGGAAGTCAGACCAGGGCTGGGGTGGGCGGGCTGGTACACAGGGGCAGCTGGGCAGCGCAGTGTGAGCAGGGGCCCCTCAGAAAGGGCCTTTTGAGCCAGTGTTGGGAGCTTGGACTTTGGTCCTGAGGAGAATGGGGTTCTGTTGAAGGAACTTTGGAGAGGGAGCCTGTGACCAAACTTGTCGATTATGAAGACTGTGATGATTGCAGAACAAGATAGCTGAGAACAAGACCAGAGGCTGGGGGACCAGCCAGGAGGCTGGGGCTCTAATCCGGGGTGTGTGTGTGGGGGGGGGCGCGAGGATGGAAATGCTGGAGTCCGTGTGCTCACTGGGTGGGGTGGAGGAGAAAGGTGATGGTTTAATGGTGATTTAGGGGTGAGAGAGCTGAATGAATGGAGGGGGGAGGGAACATCACTCGTGATGGTGCCCAGGTTCCTGGTTTGGGAAATTGGGTGGATAGTGGCAGTGTGTACAGGTTGGAGAGCACAGACTAGGGAGCAGGGTGTGGGGAAGGCCTAGGGAGGAGGGAAGGGCTGCTGAGCTGTGGTTCTGGGGGCTGGCGCCAGAATGTGGTGTCTACACCTCTGTGTTCACACCCCCTCCCCATGCGCCCTCCCCCTCCCCACTGCCTACCTGGGCCCATCACCCCCTCCTCATGCGCCCTCCCCCTCCCCACTGCCCACCTGGGCCCCTCACCCCCTCCTCATGTGCCCCCCTTCCCCCCTACTGCCCACCTGGGCCCCTCACCCCCTCCTCATGTGCCCCCCTTCCCTCCCTGCTGCCCACCTGGGTTCCTCCCCCCTCCTCATGTGTGCACATTCCCTCTCTGCTGCCCACTGGCCCCTCTGCAGGCTCTTCATTGATGGTGACCGCATAGACGCCCCCAGTGTGAAGGAGCACCTGCTTCTGGACCTGGGCCTGGAGGCCGAGTACAGAATCCAGGTGGTTCCCTACAAGTCCATCCTGAGTGAGCTCACAGCCCTGTGCGCTGACCTCTCCCCGAGGGAGAAGGTGTGGCTCAGTGACAAGGCCAGCTATGCCGTGAGCGAAGCCATCCCCAAGGTTGGTGGTCCCACCTTAGCCCCTCTTACCCTTCCCCGCCCTTCTCCGCTCTGGCCCAGGGCAGCTCTGTCTCTGGAGCTCTGTGCCTGAGATGTATCAAGCGGCTGAGGGTTTAGAGCCAGGAGGGGCCTTGTTTGTGGTTCCCAGAGGGTGGCACAGGAGATCAGTTTTGGTTCATAATCCAGAAGAAGTGGACTAATAGATTTGTTCTAACAGTTTGGTGTATGCCAGATGAGATGCAGCTTAGGACACCATGATGCTAAAGAAGTTATTTCTTTAGACAAAATAAAGCAAAGTAAACCCACTACCAAGTTGATTCCAAATCACAGTAGCCCTCCCTGCCCTGGGTTCCCGAAGTGTGAGGGAGGAGACATCTTTCTCCTGAGGGGCAGCTGGTGGATTTGAGCCATTGACCTTTACAGTTAGCAACACATGCACTAAATACACTGTGCACCAGAGCTCTTTGGGTTTTTGGTCAGCAGTCCAGTATATAACTTAGTGTGCCATCATTTTGCTTGTCTGGAAGACAAAGTTGAGTTTAATAAAGCAAATTGCTTCTTTTTTTTTGTTGCTGCTGGTATTTTTTTTTAATTATTAAATTTTATTAATCTTAATGAACATTTACAGAGATTTTGGGTTTTCATTCATTCATTGTTGCACTATTTTCTCTACCCTCCTCCCCAGTTCGTTCTTTTTCCCCCCCGCAAATTGCTTATTTAAGAGGGTCAGAAGTATTAAGTAGGAGTGCATATGAAGACGGTGTAAGCGTACTTGAATTTGAAGAGTCCTCCTCTCCCTGCCCCCCTACCCCCCATAGGACAGGAGACCTGAGCCCCAAGGAGGCTCAGTGAGTTGGGGATTTGTCTAAGGTCAGTGATAGCCCCCCGTCTTCCTGAGCTCCTCCCGGGCAGCGCTGAGCAGCTGATACCTGTTTCCTGACTTGGGACAGAATTGGAATCCAGGCCATTTATATGTAGCCATTTCTGCTGCCCTGCCCTGGGCCCCTGGCTGCCAAATTCCTTGTGGTAAATCCCGTGACGTCTTCCCTACTGAGCTGTGGCCCATCCTGTGAAGGCCCCAGACCTGGCCTCTTGAACCAGCTTTCCACTGCCACCCTGCCACTGTCACACTATGTGTGTGACCTCTAGCTAGCCCCCCTGTTACTCAGAGTGTTAGCTCCTGACCTGAACAGGCCCTGCTGCCTTCCTGATTTTTCTGAGTGAGTATGTGGGAGAGAAGAGTGATGGGCGAGAACTTCCTCTGAGAAGCACCGTCCAAGTGCAAGGCAGCGTTGAAGCCCCCTCCCTGCACCACAGGGCTGCAGTCCAACTTGTTCCCAATTTAGGAAAGCTCTTCCTCAGTCCTTTGAGGGCAGCCCATTGAGAGACGCTAAGGTGTGATCATTGAGCCTGAAAGGGGGCGCAGCCGGGAGACCCTCCCGCCCCTCAGCCTTGTGCATCCCTGGATCCCAGGAAAGAGCCCCCTTTGTGCACCAAGAAAGGGATTATTTCCATGAGGCTTTGGTTTGTTCGTGAGCTCTGATCACCAGCCATGGAGGCCTTGAAAAGCAGTATCGTGCTGATGGCTGGGCACCAGCAGCCTCAAAGCGCATGGGGGTGGGAGATAAGCAAGAAATACCCATTTGATATGCTTTCTCTTTTTTGAATGCTTTCTCTTTTTTGAATGAGCTTGAGCACAAGTCATGCTCAAGTTCATCAACTTAAAAGGCCAGATGGTGGACAGGTCTTGGACTGGGTCCAGCTCGATGGGTCCTGAAGGGAAACCCTTCAAATGAATTGTCTTAGCATGTTGTGCTGGGTCCAAGGATGGTTGCCTGGGTCTTGAGTGAGTGGAGCCAGGCGTGACCTCGATGTTCCTTCCCTGCATCCCCAGGAGCACCGGTGCTGTATGCCTTACACCCCCATCTGCATCGCCAAAGCTGTGAAGAATTCCGCCGAGTCAGAAGGCATGCGGCGAGCCCACGTGAGTAGAACAGCTAGTGCAGAAGAGGGGACACGAGGTGGATAGGAGGGCCAGATCCTTCATAACTGTGACCTTGAACTTGGACATGTTTGTACATAACCTCTCAGCCTCAGCCTCCTACAGTTCTGCTGGCCTCCCAGGTTTAACACGAAAATGACGATACTTGATCGGCCAGAGCTTTACCAGGATTAAGACACAATTCAGAGGGATATTGGTGATAGTGGTACAGACGATGGTTACGATGATGAGGAAGCCTCTTGTAAGATCAGATTGGATTTCAGGGCCAGTGCTGGATCTAGAAAAATCTGGGGCCCAGAAATATCTTTGGTCAGTGGTTGCTTTGGAGAACTACCTGTTCTCTGAGGACAGGCCTTTCCTGTTTGTGTCTGCACTACAGCCTGGCTGAGTGGTCTTTTTCCCTCTTGATGTAGTATATTGTGATGTAGTATACACCTTGTAGTGAATAGCGAATGGCCACATGCAAAGCCCGCGTGCTCATGGTGACGTGTCAGTGCAGCTCTCCGAGCGCCACCTTCATCAGTTAGAACCCCGCTGGCTGAGGTCTGAATGGGGCTGTCCAAATTTCAGTAATAACATTAAAAAATGTCTCTCTTATTTGCACAGATTAAAGATGCTGTTGCCCTCTGTGAACTCTTTAACTGGCTGGAGAAAGAGGTTGGTTCTCAGTCTTTGTTAAACCTGTGGATAGAGGGTTCTTAGAAATACCCGCCTGCCAGCCCATCTACTTTCCTCCAGTCTAATGTTAGTGCTGTTGAATGGTTCTTTCTGGAATTGTTAAGATCTGCTTGCTTTTCAAGTTCCCTTTAATTGTAAAAAGCACTAATAAGGGTCAGGAAAGAAAATCTGTAACCTAGTGAATCATTTTGGGCCCAAGGAATCATCATGCACGTTTGGGGAATGTCACTGTGAAAATGACCCATATAATGGTATTATAAGCAGGTTCCTGGGTTTAGTGGAAAGATCTTTCTGTACTTCAAATATTTTGAACTTCAGTTTAAAATAGAATACTTTTCTATTAAATCGACACTTGGCCATTTGTTTCTTGCCCACTTATTCCTTGTTGACAGGAGCATGACTTGTGTTGTTTTGTTTCATTAAAATATTATGTGAACAAGTTTTTAATTAAAAACAAGATTGGATAAGGAAAATCCATTATGAGCTTTATTCCCACAGATGTAATTTTTTGTGTGCTGTTTCCTTCTGTGAAGCGTCTGCAGTGTCTCCAAGTACAGTTGTGAGACTGTGTTTAGTTGGGTTCAGTGACTGCAGGCCTGCTACAGAGATACTGTGGGTTCAGTTTCAAAGCACTGCAATAAAGCTAATATAATATACCTTAAAGGGAGTCACACCAATTTGTTCATTGCTCAGTGCATATAAAAACTATGTTCACACTAAACTGTACTTGAGTTAGAATGCAATTAAAAGAAATCCCAAATACCTCAAATTCGTTGCCATGGAGTCAGAACAACTCACAGCTGCCCAGCTGGGTTTTTGGAAGCTGTAAATCGCAGGGGAGGCTGCTGCCCATCTTTCTCCTGAGGAACCCCTGGTGGACTTGAACCACACAAGAGGCTTCACGTTTCAGTCAGCAGTGCAGTTCCCTTTAAACTGTGCACATAGAACTCCACTGTGCAGTAAGAGCACTGATAGAACTCCACCATGCAGTAAGAGCGTTGATATAGAACTCCACCATGCAGTAATAGCATCGATAGAACACCATGCAGTAAGAGCGTTGATATAGAACTCCGCCGTTCAGTAAGAGCACCGATAGAACTCCGCCGTGCAGTAATAGCACTGATATAGAACTCCGCCATGCAGTAAGAGCACCGATAGAACTCCGCCGTACAGTAAGAGCAATGATATAGAACTCCGCCGTGCAGTAAGAGCGATGATATAGAACTCCGCCGTGCAGTAAGAGCACCGATAGAACTCC